TATGACAGGCGAGCCTCTGTCATGTGCTGCAGCTGTTTTTTATCCATGCTATTTGTGTCCAGTGATGCACTTGTCATCCAATCGCCTCCATAGGAGATATGCCACCCCAGCCAATAGCACCCCTTATTTTAGTCTGACACACAACAAGAGCAATGCACATCCCTCCCTCTCCTCTAGTTCGGTATATAAACACCGGAGAGATCACGCTCTGTCCTTTTTTGCCTCCGCTCGAAATCTCTGGACGTCTTGGTAGTTGCTGGACACAGGTTGGTGAATTTCATTGAAAATGCAGATGTTGGAGCTAAATTTTTAACATTGATGCATTTCCACAAAAGCTGGGGTATTAGAGCTAAAATCCTTTAAATCATCAACTGATGGCTAGAGCCAGAAACCTTAGTAATCCATTCAGTGCAACGTAGCATTTAGAATTCTCATTGAAAGGTTTAAAACGTGCTAGCTCACCTTATTTCCTTCTCCTGGCTCGTATTAGCCTGTCTGGCTTACTTGTAAGGGTCCACGTCAGGATTTTTAGGCAGGCGCTGGGGACAGATGTCAAAAACGAGTTGCCAGGTTGTTTCTGCCAGTCATGGTAGCCCTGTTCTTTCCACCTGCGTGAACGCGCGCATTGACTCCCAATGCTGTATGTTCGGGTGCGCGCTTGCATCAGTTGACAACATGGCGGCTCCGCGCTCCCGACGGGTGCAACATGGAGGCGAGGAGCCGGTTTTCATCTAGCACGCACATGGCGTGTGACTCATCAGCGTCCCACCTCGGTGTCCTTAATGATTATAGATGGTGTCCTTTATTTAAAAAAAAAAAAAAAAAAGGCAGCACCCCCTCCCCAATAGTCTCTTATGTTCAAAGCGTATAGTAGCATACTGCAGCCATTCACAATTCATACGACTTTGCGTATTTTTTGTTGCGCAAGGACCGCCTAGCTAACATTACTTAACCTCTAATGCCGTAGTTGCAGCAAAGTGGAAAGAAACAGTTTATTACTACATTTTGACAAGTTAATTTTCAATTTAATTGGCTTCATAAAACTCATGGGGAATGACCAAGAACAAGGCCTGTGAGAAATATTGGAGCCTGAATTATTTCATTTTATTAAACACGAATCCCCCATTAATTTAATAACTCTGCAGAAAAACGGGGATCCTTAACGTTCGG